CACCCCTCCCCTCCTCCTTTCCCAACAAAGTCCTCACCTCTGCCCTCCGGTGCCTGGGTGCGCATCGCCTACGGGAAGAGGCTCTCAAGGTGGGAACCAGCTGCTTCCAGAAACCTGACCCCTTCTGTCCAGCCCCCCATCTGTCTATCTGTCTGTCCTTTCCTCCTCTGTCCCCACCCCATCAGCAGCACAATTTCCCATTGTCCCTGTCTTTCCCCCATTGTTGAAACAACAGGGGCCCTTTCTTTATCCTTTGGGTAATGGCAATAAAATGTCAACAGCTGGGGATGTGGGACGCAGGACCGGCTGGCACACACCACCGGAAAAAGGGTCTGGGTGGGGGTGGGCTTAGAACAGGAACTAACATCCCCAAGGGGAGCAGAATGAGATGAGGGGCAGAGAATGGTCAGTCAGAAGGTTGAAATGGGGTCTCCTTCAATGCTGTAAGCTTCAAGGCTTTAAAGAGATCTTGTGTGAGGCTGGGCTCCATAGAGGGAAGAGTGTGTGGTTAGAATTGCAATAGGGGAGATGGAAACTAGACAGCAAGGAGGATTTTTCTGTCCCCAGGAACGGACATGGTATGGGAATGTCTGAGGCTGGAAGGATTTGGGGAAGCTCTCCAAAAGTGTGGTCATATTATTTTTTTCCCCTACTTCCCTACCTCCTCTTTCAGCATAGGTACATAATCTTAAAGTTCTCAAGAGAACTTACAAGGGTAGAAATTCACTTCTCTCAAGTCTTTCTTGTTAGGAAGTTTTTTTCTGAAATCTAAACTCCTATTGGAGTTCAAGCTCATTTTAAAAACCTTTCTAATGAGGTGTAATTGACAGGCAAGAAAATGCACAGCTCAATACATTTTGTGTGCACACGCCATGTAATTACCCCGCTCCCCCATCAGGACACAGAACCTTTCCAACACCCAGAATAAGCAAGCACATTTCTTTTTTGTTTGCTATCAATGCCGAGGGGGGACTCCCTCCACTGACAGCCGTTTAGAAATGTTCTGAGCTTCGAATGGCCTCTTAGCCTTCTTTCATCTCTGCTGAGCACCCCACACCAGGAGTTTTGTGTTTCAGAACTGGAGGGAACTTCAGGATGCTTAGCCTCCTCGGTTACCAGAGGCAGAGGAGATGGAGGGGAGAGGGACTTGCCCAAGACCATGCAGAAGGCAGCTGTTGGGTCAAACCTAGAACTTGCTGCTTTTTTCAGTAATCCCTCCTCCACTCCTCTGCTTGACCCTCCCAGTTGGAAGAGCGCCAGGGTTTTGACTATAGATTTAATAATAGGAGCTCATCCCATGGACTTGATCGACTGTCTTTTCCCTTCGGCTCCATCCCTGTTTCTTAGCCCTTCCCTCCTCGCAGAGAGGACAAAGAGACAAATAGCCCCTGTCTCCTGGGCCAGGACACCCTGAACCAGCGCATCTGATTGGCTTCCACCCAACTCAAACAAACAGCTTCCCACAGAGCGGGGCGGGTCTACAGTAAAGGCTCCACAGCCCGCCAGACCACCACTCCCGGGCTCATGCCTCACCCACGGCTCCTTTCTCCCCACATCACTTCCGAACTGTGGTTTAGAAGTCTCTGGTAGGTAAGTCCATAAAAGGCCGAGTTTGGCATGGAGGTAAACCTAGAACTGGTTGATAGATGCCAAAAGGACCGTTTCAGGGTAGGAGGAGAAAGGAACAGACCAGGAGTGAACATAGTAAACAGTCAAGCTGTGTTTAGCGTGCTCAAGGTCACTTTCATTCTCAGTTTTCCCCAAGGCTCTGCAAGATAGGAATCGAATCAGGCTGCGCAGGCTTGAGCTGGCAACTTTTCACTGAACTAGCATCTTTTAAAGAGAGGATTTTGCCACTTCTGCTCCCTACTGACCAGAGGGAGGTGGAATCATTCTAGAACAAGCATGGAGTCCTGACACCTCTTCCCCTAACATCACAGGCTCAGCTTACCCTCTCCGGGCACATTTGGCTAACTAATTTTCTTGACCCCTGATGATGGCATGATCCGTTTATTACTGGGAATGTCACATGAAGGACTGGAAGAGTTGGCACTTTAGGGGAAAAGGCAGGGAGGGAGGAGTGCCTGACTCCTACAACACACTCAATACATTTTGGCTCTTATTATACGGGGGAGGGAGAGAGAAACGCCAGAGAATAGAATCAAAACAGACACTAACTGCTTGATTTTAAAGGATCACCTGATTTTTAAAAATACATAAAAAATCACACACACAAAAGTTCATGTCCCACTTATTTTTTTATGACAAAAGTAATAGCTACACATAGTGAAAAAGAACCCAACCACTACCACAGGGATAACATAAAAAGCCAAATGCTTCTTTCCTTCCTTCCTTCTCACTTCCCCCTGTACAAACCATTGCTAAACTTCTCAGTCTGTCAGAAGTTTTTAAGACTCTACAAGCCCTGACTGGTTTGGCTCAGTGGATAGAGCATTGGCCTGCAAACCAAAGGGTCCAGGGTTCGATTCCGTTCAAGGGCACATGCCCGGGGTTGCAGGCTCGATCCTCAGTAAAGGGCAGGCAGGAGGCAGCCAATCAATGGTTCTCTCTCATTGATGTTTCTATCTCTCCCTCTCCCTTCCTCTATGAAATCAATAAAAATATATTTTAAAGACTCTATGAGAATGCAGATAAGTAGAAACATACATCATGCATTTATTCTTTTTAAAATTTATTTTAGAGGAAGGAGAGAGAGAAACATTGATTTGTTGTTCCACTTATCTATGCATTTATCGATCGATTCTTGTATGCATGTGCCCTGACCAGGGATCAATCCTGCAACCAACCGAGTTACCTGCTCAGGGCCCATATATTCTCTTTTAATTGAATTGAAATCATATCATACAAACTGTTCCCTATCTTGCTTTTTTCACCTAATAATATGTTTTGAGCACCTGTCCTATCAGCACATGACATAAAGCTTCCTCATTTATTTTCGTCAGCACGGTATTCCAGTGGGTGACTTTAGCATAATTTATTTAATGAGATGCCTATTGATGAATATTTAGGATGCTAGAGGTTGGGACAATTAATCACCTGGGAAAAAATTGAGTCCATAATTCATTCCTTAACCAGGGGTGTGGAACGTCATTTGGTCTGCCAAGCTTAAGGGTGAGTTAATGAGGTGTTTGACCAGGCTAATTTTTAAGTTGATAATTCTGTATGGCCCTCAAATGATGTTATATATATCCAGATGGCCCTTGGCAGAATAAAGGTTCTCATCCCTGCCTTAACTAAATACATTTCAGGAAGCTCAAAGATTTAAACTTAAGAATAAGTTGCTCATTTTTCCTGGTCACTCCCATGCATACAAGAGATATACATGCTGTTAAACTTCTGTGTGTTTTTTAAATGAAGCCAGAATGAATTATAGAATAATCTTTTTTAAATATGTTTTTATTGATTTCAGAGAGGAAGGGTGAGGGAGCGAGAAACAGAAACGTCAATGATGAGAGAGCATCATCGATCGGCTGCCTTCTGCACACCCCCCACTGGGGATCAAACTCGCAACACGGACATGTGCCCTGACTGGGAATCAAACCAGCAACCTCCTGGTTCATAGATCAATGCCCAACCACTGAGCCATGGCAGCCAGGCTAAAATAATCATTTAAATTAGAAGGCAACTTTTATTGCTTTTTAAAGTGATTACCAATGATACATTTAATTGTAGACAATTTAACAAACATAAAAATCATTTTTAAAAATTATCTTTATTGTTGAAAGTATTACAGATATTCCCTTTGTTTTCTTTCCCATTGACCCCCTCCACCCCCAATCCGCCCCTTCCAGGCCTTCCCCACACTATTTTCTGTGTCCATTGGTCATGCATATATGCATATAAATTCCCCGGTTCATCTACCCACATAAAATCATTTTTAAAAATAAAAATTCCCTCCCTAGCTGGTCTGGCTCTGGATATAGTGTCGAAAGGCCCCAGGTTTGATTTCAGTCCAGGGCACGTGCCTGGGTTGAGGGTTCGATCTCCAGTGTGCAGTGTGCAGGAGCAGCCGATTGATGGTTCTCTCTTATCATTGATGTTTCTATCTCTCCCTCTCACTTCCTCTCGGAAATCAATATATATTTTAAATAAATAAATAAAATGCTATACCTGAGATCTACAGCAGGTGGCGTAAGAAGACTGCATTACCACTCAGACGCTCTAACCACTGAACCACCCACCAGGGCACTGTGTGTCAAACTGTGTTTTCAAACTAAAATTAATTCTATGGAAGATTTTTTATGGACATAAGGGAATATGACACATTGAGCAATCATGACAAAGCTTTACTATGAAATGGCAGTTTTCCTTTTTGAAGTTCCTAGGAGGCGTTACTTTACCATAAATACTGATATAGGGAGGCAAATGACGGGTACTTTTTTCAGGTTTTAGTCCTTGGGTGGCTCGGTGAAGGAACAGTTTGGGGGTGGGGATGCTGACTTCTTTGCATTATCTTCTTTCCCTTGTCTGCCACGGCCAGTCCAAACCCCTCATCCTGGCTTGCATTCCGGATCCTACATCTCTCTCCATGCCCCACCCCAGTCTCCTCCAGTCCCACTCAGGATCCCAACTTCCCCCGAATAGGTACTCGTGAAGTCAGGGCTCGTGTCTTATGCACATTTTATCACCAGTACCGAAAGGACAGGTCCTGGCACACAGTGTGGGTCAAAAAAGTTTGATGGACCTGCTGAAACCTCTAAGCTCTAGGCTTTTATCAATACCTGTGCCCGCAAAATTCACCCAAAGGTGCTACCTCCTCGGCCTCTACCTATCTCTAGGGCACTCTCGATGCTTTCCCCTAGCGTTTCCTTCCTCTTATCTGTGCCCGGGGCTGGCTCAGCTGGCTCAGCGTTGGACCCGAAGCTGTTTTCGGTATCTTAGTACGTAAGTGCCTTGGTCGCTGCAGGTGGGCAGTGAATAGAACCCTCCCCGCCCCTCACCCCACCCTCCGGAAATGGGCACGCTCTGGGGCCGAGTTTCTATAGCAACCGTACCAGCAATGGGCCCACCCCCAGACTGTTTCTCCTGGGAGGACCGGGACAG